GAAAGTGAGTTTGTTTACTTTAATTTGTTAATTAGCATGTGTTTAATTTTCATGCTAAGTAATGTAGAAGGTGATGAATTTCTCCACTATTACATTTCTTAGTTATGCTCCTAAGTCTTACCATTCATAGACTCTGGTAAGAAGAGTTTAAGAACGTCATCTAATTATATAGCAAATTAGTATGAAATATTAGCAACCAAGTGTATGTTTTCTTTATAATTACCATGTTTTTAATTTTAATGTTGAGGAATGAAAATATAGAAAGGGAATTTCTCCACTATTCTACGTCTTAGTTATGTTCTTAAGTCATACCATACATAGACTATAAATAGTAAGAAGATTAAGAACATCTAATTATAAGCAAACATGTATGTACGGATAATCAACAACCTAGTGGATTTATTTACTTTGTGGATTAAAATAGATTACACAAAGTTAAATTTTCCACTAGTCTACTTCCTTTCAATTCCTAGTCATGATCCTAAGGTTTAGCTTAGCATTAGCTTAATTGTTTTATGCCTATTTAAAGCCTCCTGAGTCAGAAAGTAGTTGTTTACAGAAATGAAGTGATCATTTTTTTTTTTTTTTTACTGAATATTATTTTTAAGATGAAGTGAACAGAGCCTTAATGTTGGTATAAGTATTAGGTTTACTTTGAAACCAAACCTAGCCTCATGTTACCTTGAATACATATAACCATGCATAATACAAGTACGTAGCATTGCATGAATTACGTACTCAACTGCATTGTCTGCATGACTAGAGGTTCTAAATAGTACTCTAACAAACTTTAATCGCTCATGCCTAATGAAAAGGTACAAGTTCAGCCCAAAAGCGGTTAAGCTTGTCTGTTGGTGCATAATTGAGATATCAAGTATGCCCAATGAAAGGTATAATTGATAGGCGCGTGGCGCACCTAACAAAAATAATACCTAAGTAGATCTCCTAATTATGTAGTAGGGTAAGGGTTGATCCCACAGAGAGAAAGTTGTTTAATAATCAACTTTTACCAATGACAAAACTAAATAAGAGAGAATGATGGATTAAATAACTACGATTATTCAAATATCAAATACAAATCAAATATAATAGGGAAAATTTGTCAGAAACAACTTTTTAAAGTGTCCACTTTATTTAAAACAACCTTTAAATTTTTTTTTTGTAACTTCAGACCACATTATAAATTTTTTTTTGTCAAACACAACCCAATGCTACTTTCCGGCGTTGAGTCTATTTTTTCCGGTGTTGACCACGAGTGTGCGAGGCACGTGACCTCTTATATTGCTTAATACACCCCTTTTCCCTCCAATTAACTCTTATTAAAACCCCTGCTTCTCTCTCCTCATTCTTCTTTTTCGATAAATAGGAAAAAAAGTTCTAAGGTAAATTCCTCTAAAGCTATCTGAATCTGGAATTTCAAGTTATCAACCAAGCAATTCGTCAATTTCGAACCAAGTTTCGTCGTTGCTGTTGTTTAATTATTTGTTTCTTTTTGTGTAATTGGTGTTTTTGAAAATTAGGGTTTTTTTCCCCCAAAATTTTGAAATCGAATTAAGTGACAAAGAATTTGTCAATTATGCAATATTCATGGTTTATTTGAATGATATCAAATGCGCTTGAAGTATTTATAATAAAACTAGGAGTTTAGATAGAATTAGGAAACTAATCCGTGCTAGATCATCCAAGAATTCCTAGGCACGGGCGTGCCACTCCAAGGCATGAACGTGCCTCGCTGCTGCGCGCGTAACTCATCTTAAAACGGTCATAACTTGAGATCCGAAGCTTTGATTGAGGCATGTAATATATCGTTGGAAAGCTCTTGAATTCTAATTTCCAATTCAATTAGAATCACTTCATTATCATTTGTACATCAAAAGTTATGATCAAAATAGTGGACGGGACTCATATTCGTCAAGTCTTTAATCAACGCTTTGCTTCATTCTATCCTAATTTCGCCTCGAAGACTTGAGTTAAGATCCTTGAGCAAGATAGCTTCAAACTCCATGATTATTATACTCAAGATTAGCCAACCATAATCCATTTGTATCTAGATCACCTGAAATTCATCAAAACATACAAATGGAGAGTAGTAGAGCATAACTTAAGCAAATAATTAATGTTATAATACACCTTAGACCTCTAAATCTATAAGCAATTGAGTGTAGATATGCACCTAAATGTGTATAAATTAGGACTTATCAATAACCTATAAAGTCTTCTACCCGACCCTATATGTTTTCAATCTATTCATTATTTTTTTCATGATTTCTAATACACGTCTTTAATAGATAAACTTAAAAAAAAAAAATACAACAAGATCATACTACTATATTTCCTATAAAGTCTTCTACCCGACCCTATATGTACTTCATAATGTATTTTTATTTCCTATATTATGTGGTACAACGATTTGGAAACATTTAGGCCCCATTTGGTTTGATGTAAAATATTTTCAGTGAAAATTAGTCTTCATGGAAATTAAGGAAAAATACAATTTCAAATTAGTTTTCCTTTGTTTGGTTGCATACAAGAAAAGTTAAAGAAAAATAAAAAATAGGAGTGGAATGAGAGGATGGATGAGATGAAAGTAAAAAGGAAGCAAGGATAAGGGAGAAAAATGTGACTTCCCTTGTTTTGTAAAGGAAAATATTTTCCATCATTAAGCATGCTATAATACTACTCTCTCTGTCCTATAATACTTAGGACATTGGAGTGGCCATATAGTTTAAAAAACTACAAATGGGCCCATGTAAAACATTTGTTTATTATATAAAGGATTCTCTTTGTATTTTTATATTGTAAGAAAACAAAAAGTGGGGGAGGTGGGAGTAGTGAGGAGGGAGAAAATGTAGGATTTAATTGGGTTTTAGGGTTTGTGGTTACAAAGAGAACAAAAGAAAATATTTTCTTATTAGTAGTCCCATTTTATATTTAGTAACGTGTCAAATATTTTGAAACGAACGAAAATAGTAATTATATCAAATATTATGAGACGGAAGGAGTACTACGTTAATTGTATTACTATGTAATCCTTATTACCAGTACTAGTACGCCACCATTGACCAGCCCACTGAGTTAGTTTGACCATCTGACATCCTTATAAGCTTAGGGCCAATTAAAGAATGACCATGCCACAATAATAATTAAGAACGATTTAGCTTATTGTTATTTTTATTTATTAATTTTTGTTTATTTGAGGGGACAATCAGGAACCACGACTTCAGTCACACAAACACACACAGTTACACCTTACACTTGATCTTCTAAGGTCACTTGGTTCGTCCACTAGACGCATTTAAATATTATACCTCGGTTTATAAACTAATACAAGTAGGTCTGTAGGTGATAATATAATGAATTTTCAGGCTACTAAGATCTCGTATTACTCACATAATTTTTACTCCTTATTAAACTTGAACTATTTTTACTAATTAGAAATGATGTTCATCGAATTAAGCAATATTAATAGATTAAAACTTACTTAGACTCTTTTTATTATATTTTCTTTTTGCTTGTTTTTAAATGTTTACAAGAATTAAAACACTTTTATTGATTATAACTAAATTCACTTATAAAACCTTTTTTTTTTAATTATTGATTAAATTAATTTTTATTCCCTTTTTTTCTTTAATGTCGTGTGTCTCACTTAACTTTTTTTTCACAATTCTCAATACATATTTTTGAATAAATATACCTTTTGTAATTACATATTTTAAAAAGGGAAATTTTGGAAACAACTACCAATTTAAGTCCCCGTTTTAAAAACAACTACCTTTTAAATTTTTTTTAAAACAACTACCACAAAAATATTAAAAGTTAGAGTAGCACTACCACATGTGAAATTCCGGCAAGAATCTCCGGCAACTGGGTCCCATATTCTACATTTCCCTCCAATTTTTTTTTTCTCTCTCCTCTGTATATAACTGCTATTCGAGCTTTAATTGAACAAAAATTCCCAAAAAATTTCTCAAATTTTCTCCCTTTTTTTCACAAATTGAGCAAGAGGAATAATTTCTTAAACGCTACCTCAAGTAATTTGAGAATCTTATATGCTAATTTGGATTCGAAATTGGGGAAATTGGGAAAAATTGGGGAAATTAGGGTTTCGCTAAATTAGCAATTTTTGGGTAGATTGAATTGATTTATTGACATTAGGGTTTATTAATTGAATTGATTTATTGACTTTAAGTGGAATTTGTCCTTCACCAGCTGTCACCATCGTCCCCTTCTCCATTAAAGCTCCAGCTTTCCCAATGTAGAAACGACAACTCCACTTTCGTTGCAACTTTGGACCACCGCGACAAAGACAAAAAAAGTGGGGAATAGTGGGGCGAATTCAATGACCTAAGTGTGAGGTGAGAAAGTGCGAATATTCTCTGAGAATTTCAGAAAACCTTGACAATGGGGGTTGAACAGAGAACAGGGGAGAGTTAGGCGGGAATTAATTGAGGAGAAGGGAAGGTGGTTGGGTGTAAATTAAAAGAGGGGTAATAAGGTAATTTCACATGGTCAAATTGGAGGGAAATGTAGAATGTGGGACCCAGTTGCCGGAGATTCTTGCCGCAATTTCACATGTGATAGTGCTACTCTAACTTTTAATATTTTTGTGGTAGTTGTTTTAAATTTTTTTTTTAATAGCTAGTTGTTTTCAAAACGGGGCCTTAAATTGGTAGTTGTTTCCAAAATTTCCTTTTAAAAACTGATTAATGAAATCATATTAAAATCTACACTATACATTAGGTGAGTCTAGTAAAATCTCACATGAGTTTTACTATTAACCATTACCACTTGCCAAGGGAAGACAAAATAAGCCGTCGCAATTGACGTTTGACACATGTACATTTAATATAGAGAAATAAAAGTAATACAGAAAGAAAAGGATACTTCAATTTGCTCTCTCTTAACTTGAAAACTTTATTCATCTTAAATTCTTGATAAAGGGCAAGATATATTATACTAGTTCAGTTTTCAATGAACGAAAACAAAAAAAGAGTTTAATTTCTAAAAAATACAGTAGCATTATTATATTTGATATGGTACATATGTAATATTTTTGTTTATTAATATTATGTCTTTGCTTGGCAAGTTGGTCGTCTAAGGAGCCTAGAAGCAACGTATTATAAACTTATCCGCAAGAAATCCAAAGTTAGCCCACAACCAATTTGGTTATAAATACAAAGATCTTGAAATACAAACTCCACAAACTTAACACTCTTATTTTCTCTCATTTGTTTGCAATTTACTCTGCACAATGGCTATGAATCACTGCATCTTCTTTCTTATGTTCATTGTCTCGGTAATCCTTCTTTTCCTTATGGGTCCTTATTATTAGTTTCCTTTTTTTTTTTTTTTTAATTTTATTTTATTATTATTATTATTATTATTTTTTATTTAAAGTTCGTGTCTGGAATAATTAATTATAACGGATTCAATTATACAATAATGTACATTGTATATGTACTCTCTCATTTGAAATTAATGGCTACATTTTGTTGAGTACTCCGTATTACTTTTGTTACATAAAACTTGTTAAAGGAATTCAAAGTAAATTGAACTAGCATTGTGATAAGACTGTGACTAATTAAAAAGACAAATTAAAATGAATATGATAAATAATCTAATGTATTTTATTTTATTATTATTGAACTTTGCTAGTAATATTAGTTAATAATTATATAAAGTATGCTTAGATTTCTTATTAAGATTGTTGTTGTTAATTAAGTTCTTGTTATATATGTTATACTTGTTCATTATATTTATAATTTATGTATTTGTAACCATATAATTAATATAATAATTCGCACTTCTCAGCTTCAAGTAGCTATTGCTGCTGTCACGTCCATTACTACTCCAAGTGCAAAAACATACTGGAATATGAAGTTTCCTAATGTTGCTATTCCACCACTTCTGGAATTTATGTTGCCTAAACCATCAGGTATAATACCAAGTATTTAATTTTAATTATAATTTTGTTAATTAACGTTTTACTAATGTACACAAGTAGATTATTCGATTGAGTTTAATTTGTTTATTTAATTGATTGATAGGATTTGATTACACGAAGGCCAAAGCAAGTTTTAACAGGGACGCGACCATGGCCCTCTACAGTTGGTATAATTTAACTCCTTTATTTTATTATACTCTATACTTTGACCTCATTCTCAATAATAATAATAATAACGCTAAAAATATCACCATGTATTATTAAAAAAAAATGATTAATTTACACAAATATCACTAGGGAGTATTAAACTTTGTTGTTACTTGTAATAAAATAACCCTATGCCATGTGATTTTTTATTTTTATTTAAATTAGTCTAGATATGGGAATTTGCTTTGACCCTTGTTTTATCATTTTGTACTAATTTTTAGTTTTGTTTTCTTCATTATAAAATAATAATATTCAGAAAAAAAAAATCAATTTAGTAATAATAAATTTCGAGTAAAAATAAGTTCAGTTTAACAAAAATAGTGAATCAGCAAAAATAAGTTTTAATCAGTAAAAATAATTTTAATTCAGTAAAATTAATTTAAGTTTAGCAAAATAATTTCAATTCAACAAAAATAAGGTAGACAAAAGCAGACCTTATTTATTCTTGTTTTGTAATGAAAAGTTATACTAGCTAGTTATGGCATAATATGTTTAAAGTGAACTTTCGGTTTTATTGAAGGAAGCTGTGGATCGATACTCAAACCCTCAAATCGAATCTTGTTACGTAATTGTAATAATAAAGCACTCATTTTTAAATTTTTCCTTATAGGTATGACTACGAGTTTGAAACTACGGGAGCACAACGTAAGAACAAAATATTTACCTCTATGTTCATCCGTCAAGAGGACCTACTAAAACCAGGCACAATCCATCAATTGCAATACCTAGGCCCATCGGACCTTGGCCCATCTTTCATGTCAAGAAATGAAGTCCAAACCAAAGTTCCTTTCAATTCTCAACACTTTTCCCAAATACTTGCTGCCTTTTCTATAGACCCCAATTCCAAAGAAGCTCAAATGATGAAGTCAACTTTGACTCGTTGTGAAGATCCTTTAAGGTTTAGTCAACACTTTTGTGCACCTTCAATGGAAGATATGGTTGACTATGTATCTTCTGAGTTCAATCCTTTGGTTGCTAGTAAGGATCTTCAAGTGCTTAGTGTTATTGTCACCCCTCCCATGGAGGGTAGCAACAGGTATATATACATACGTCATATATTATACTCCTTCTGTCTCATATTAAGTGTTTTATTATGTATGGACCAGTTAAATGATTGAATTCTTAATTTTGTCACTATAATAGGTATCGCATAAATAAAGTTAAGATTGCCGGGGAAGGAAAGGATACAATAAGTTGCCACAAGGCAGCTTTCCCATATGGTGCATTCATGTGCCACCACCTTGTAGGGGGGACGGCTTATCATGTTCAACTCCAAAGCCTTGACAATGATAACCTAAAGGTCGACGCTCTTGTGGGTTGCCACCATGACACCTCCGATTGGAGTCCGTTGTACGGTGCCTTTGAGGTTCTTGCGCTCAAACCTGGACAAACTGTGTGTCATTTCCTCCTTGCCGATAATGTTATCTTCATAAAGAACAACTGATACGGTGATACCTACCTAAAGTAGTAGATATGAATGTGTATTTCACTATTTCATGTTATGCAATGGGCTATATACCACGAATTGGATTGTACCACTTATAAAAAGTCCAAAAACCTTGTAGTAAATTGTAATGTTCTACCTTGATTTATACTGAACAACTGACTTTGATACTATGCAATGCATCACCTGTTTTAGCTTTCAAGTTTTTGCACGGGATTTAAAACAGTAAGCCACTTTCGTTTAGAAAGAACAGGTAGGCTATCTATGAGTATCTCAGGAAAATCAGCTAAGTCGATATTCTAGCATAGTCTCTAGAGAATTTGTGGTGAATGCTACCTGAGAGTAACTTCACTTCGATCAATTTAAATACCAGTAAATCTCTGTTACTCACTGTGAGAAACGTTTTTGTTTCTCACAGTGGCAGTTTCGTAAATAAAATGTACCACCGTGACTAAAGAGGTACAATTTTATCATCCATTTTGTAAATAAAATGTACCACCGTGACTAAAGTGGTACATTTTATTTACGAAACTGCCACTGTGAGAAACAAAAACGTTTCTCACAGTGAGTAATGGGGGCGCCCTCAATAAATACAGTATGAAAGTTTTATATCAGCTGAAACTGTTGTTCCATGCAGATGGTTCTCGTTATGGCATTCATTGCAGTTGCAGCCGTATCAAAATAGTAATCCTCACAAAGGTACTACTGATTACTGAAGCATGAAGGAAGTTAAAAAAATTGATTAACATATAAGTATGTTTGAATTAATGAGGCGACGAAAGACTAAACAATAATTTGCAGACGACCTTACTCAAACTAATACTCAATGCACAAGACTCCTAGAATATAGGAGACCTGAAGGAGGCTAAACAAGGTTTTTCATAGGGAAACTTAAGAGAAAACTACAGATAGAACTCCCTTATAAGAAAAAGTGGTAAATAGTCTAGCAATAGTTAAAATTCCTGCTCCGGTGCTCCCAATACCCCAAATCACACATTCACACACATGCATGAGCTAATATAATCTTGCCCTGGTGCTGTATAATACACGGGGTGGGGGTTGAACTTTACTCTAAGACTGAGAACCCAGTCGAGGCAAAGTGGAAAACTGCAGTGTTACTGCAGAACAATAATATTAAATTCTCCTGTGCTGCACTATGCAGTAGGCATGTTCACGGATCGGATATCCGATCCGAAATCACATTTCGAATCGAATATCAGAAATTAATATCCAAATCCGATCTGAAAATTTCGGATATCCGATGTTCGGATATCCAAAATTTTCTGATCGGATGCTTCGGATATCCATTATCCAATACTAAGTAAAATTGATTATGATTACTTTATAAATTTCACTAATTTTACCTTTTTTTATCCATAAGTTGTACAACATATTCAACAAAGTAGTAGTCTTTTTGCAATAAATATTATCATCAAATATATTAAGAATATTATAATAAGTTAATAATACAGGGTCAGAACAATTTAAAATTTTTATATGTATTTCAATATTTCAGCCTTTATATTTCAGATATCGGATATCCGAAATTTTGAAAATCAATATCCAAATCCGCATCCGATATCTGCTTTATCCTATACGAAATGAAAACTCGGATCGGATATCTAAAAATTCGGATCGGTTGCAGATCGGATAGTTTTGTATAGGCCTACTATGCAGTCCAACTGTAGGCCAGATAATTGCCTTGTATGCCAATAAGCTTCTGATTAGGCAATGTGTAGGAACTAAAGAGCAGTAGGGACTAAAGCTGTTAATTTGTAAACTAGCTGATTGATTTTATTCAAGGGGTTTTCTAAAAGCTCAACCTGATCCTAACTAAAATAATCAAAGATGGAACTTGAGGTGGAATCCCCCATTCCCCCTTCTTCCACACACTCACACACACAGACAGAAGAACGGAAGGAGTGCGTAATTAGACAATACTACAAGAAACAGAATCCCATTGTATCATAATCGGAACAGTTGCCTAATTTTAGTCTTAAAACAAAGAGCATTATAAAACAAAATGTTGGTCTCGAACAGGCAAATCATCCTAGAAATCCAGAGGAAGAACTGAAAGGTGTAGATACTATCATATACTAGCTAGCACACTCTTTTTTTTGGCAATTAATTAAAGATTTTATTAATCGCCAAGGAAAGAACAAAGACCACAACACCACAAAGGCTGGCACAAACCGCCTGAACCCCACCCAAACAACCTACTTATAATACAAGTCTAACAAAAATTTGTGTTGCTCAGGAGAACACCTACAAGCAACCTTTGTGGTGGTTTGGCGGTGGGGGCTAGCGGTGGTATGGGGTGGTACGGGCTTTTTTTTATATACTTTTTTACTGGATTTACCGACGGACTTTTCCGGGCCAGAAACCTCTTCCGTCGGAAGAATTCCAACGGAATTTCTGTCGAAAAAGTGTTTCGACGGAAATTCCGTCAGAAAAGGTCAATTTCCTACAAATATGTTACGCGCCACTTTCCAACGGAATTCTGTCGGAAACACGATTTCCGACGGAAAACAGGGTGTTTCTGACGAAATTTTTCCGTCGAAAATGACCTGTTTTCTAGTAGAGAATCTCCATTAATTATAGAGCAGAAAATGAACATGGCTAACTTTGTTAGTATCGTATAATAGAAATATTAGATATATTATCCTCCACAATTAACTATTCTATATTATCTTTCCCGCAAAACAAAATATCACCCAAGACCAATGTTATATGAAATACATGCATCATACTGAAGTCGGAATTCAGAATCAAACGTATCAATGGAAGAAAGGGTTGGGAAAATACTTATTATAACTAACTTTATTTCAAAATAGATAATTTTTATTTATTGTATACAAAAATATAATTATATTAATTATTTAGTCAACTCTATGCATGGATGGCCAAGATTTAATACCAAATTTAAAGGTCCAGATTGAAAGATTACAATGGCAACAATATTTTTGTAGCCATTGCAAAATTGTCCATAAATTATGATATGTAATTGAAAAAATGTCAATAGTGCAAATGGCGCAACATTTTTATTATGGAATTGAATTTTTTTTTTTCTTAAGAGAATTATTCAACCCTTTAATTCTTACTTTCTTAAAGTTGAATATATTTGAGAATATTTGTAATCAACTAATCCAACCCTTTAATTACTTGTTTTACCGAATATATCTTGTTCTTGCTATATTAATAAAATCAATTATTCAAAGTATCGTAACTTGTCAAAGGGGATCCAATAGTAATCCTTAATTACCTACGTATAAGTCATGGGAAAACATGCATATAAATACACGTACATATATACACCTCTTATCATATGCATTAAATCTCATTCCATTCATCTGTTTTGTGCAAAAAATCCTTAGCTTGTTCTTAATTTTAATTTTCATAACAAACCAAACTTTAATTTAGGCAATTCCACAAAAATGAGTTTCTCTTATAATAAGATAATTAAATCATTGATGATCTTGATTTTGTTCTTGAGCTTCAACCTTCTTGTAGAGCATGGAAATTGTAGGCCTTTAAAGGATGATGACAACGTTCATTATAAGCGCGACGACAACGTTCAATGGATGAAGGAGGAGGCTAATCTTGTTTCATTGGAGGTTAAGTCTAAAGGAAAGCCTTCCCCACCATCACATTCACGAAGCCCAGGTTACATTCCTGGTCCTCCAGGAAGAAATTGAGCTTGACCCTTAAGCTCATGCATGTGCTGTTGAAGAAAATACGTAGTAACTAAAAGAAGAGGAAGTAATATTATTATTGGTTGAATAAGTTCTTATAAATTTATAATGATATTTAATTAATTTAATTATTCTAATCTTTGTAGTGTACTTGATGAGGCTTATATACACATTTATGTATAAACATTAAAGAATAATTAGTTTGTAGTTTGTACTTCGTATTTGTTTACATTTAATAAGATGACTAGTTTTCCTTAAAAAAAAAAATAATTAAATGACTAGTGAGTTTTGCGTTTATTGAATTTTAAGATAAACTATTTATTTATATCCTAATTTTAAAACATATCATTAATACAAACAGTGTTATGTAAAAGGTGGATATTCTTTTTTATTTAGGATATTTTGACAATAGGATACCATGAGAAAAAATTTTAAATTATTCAAATTTTCTACTCATAGATTAATAATCAGTTGACAATTAAAAATATAATAGTATTACTGCTCATAAGGTTGTGGGTGGATTTGAGAAAGAGTTTGGACTCTTTGGTAGTTCTTGAAAGTAACACAAGTAGCATAGTTAGAGCAATTAAAAGAAATTAGTTTGGAGTTACACCAATTTATGTTTGACATGCGGGTAATGCGGCTGCCCATATGGTAGCTAAATAAAAGAATGATATAATAAATTTGGAATACCTAAGTACATACGACTGATTTTCCCAAAGTCTTCAAACTTTGGCAGATCTTGATTTAAATTAATAATGTCTGCAAAGGTCTTTAAAAAATTATGAATTATAATAAAACAATCATATAAGGTTTTGAACTTTTTATTATTATTAGTCGATTTAAAACAAAATTCATTATATAAATATACTCCGTAAAAGACGTATAAGATATTTATCGAAAGTTATTCCCTCCATTTTTTGCTTCATTGGGACTATTGGCACTATTTACTTGACCCACGTTAACCAATATTTGTGAATTATACATAGGAAACAAATGTTGCCTTGTGTATATGATATAATAATTTATTTTTCTAAGGACTTTTAAAGATAAAATAGCAGCTTATTAACTTGTTTTGCATATCTTCATAGAATATAAAGGTCGCTGATATTGCCAAGGCAAAAAAAGCCATTGCCAAGACAAATTTTCTACCCTTTGCCCGTAATCTTTGAGTATCCAAATATATCAAAACTCATTAATTCAATAAAATACTTTGTCATATTTTGTTGCTTATAATATTAGTAGCTAAATATTCCAATTAAAATCTTTTCAACTCCAACTACTAATTATTCACGTCAAAATATGCATTTAATTAAATTATTCACCATTATAGACTCATCCATATAATCCTCTTACAATCACTAAATTTAACATTTTATTGGGAGAGATACCATTATCAAAGTTTTACAGGTATTAGCTACCTCTAAATTTTTTTATTAATTAATTTCATTTATTTATCTAGCCCTTAATTTGTTTGTAATTGACTATTAGTAAAGGTGTTTTCATGTCAACTTAAAACGTGTTGATATTCTACCTTTATTATTAAATTTGCCATTAAACAAATTTCATATTTACTTTTTAGGCGTAGGAAAATAAAGATTAATAATTTTCTTTTTTTATTTATAAAATATAGCACTATGTCTATATACGTGGGATACTTCAATTCTCAAACTCTAAAAATATAGTTGTAGACAAAGGGATTTAAATATTGCATCTTAATTATTTACCTATTTCTTTGGCAGATTATGGATAATCATATAGTGATGGAAGAAGATGTGCATGTTATCATGTTATGTTTAGTACACAGTATTAAACTCGTGAAACACTCCTGGAAGATGTATCAAATGTATTGGAGTTAAATGAATAAGATTTTAATTAGAATATTTAGCTACTAATATTATAGGCAAAATATTATAAGCTTTATTTGAATTAATAAGTTTGACATATTTAGATTCTCAAAGATTACGGGCAATGGGTAGATAATTTGCCTTAAAAGTGGCTTTTTTATCTACTCACACGATCAAGCTAATCTCACCCTCAGCCCCACTAAAAATAATCAAGGACGGAATTGACAAGAGAGGGGGAACAATTCCACCTCCTTCAAGAAATCATCATGTTGTAAAAAGATACTGGAAAAAACAAATTACTGCTGCATCATAGATCAGGGGCATTGTAAAAATCATTGTTAGCCTAAGCTGGCAGGCCATCCCAGAAATACAACAGGAGACCTGCAAGCACTCATTGACTAAGGAGCGTAACCTGAGACTTTGAGAGTTACTTTGCTTCAACACTGCTAATAATAACAAGCTCATATATCTCTAAAACATATTATCCTTGCTCGTGGTTGTCTGATAGTAGCAGGAAAGGCAACAACTCGCAAGACAAGTCATTGTGTGATATATTGTACACAATTAACCTCTCACGTATCATACCAAAGCTGGGAGAAATCATATTTAATGATTCACGTCTCATGAACATGTTCAGATACATGAGCTGATGAAAGAGTAAACCATCATTTTCATATTACTTGACTTTAAAACTACTACTCAAGATGCACAAGACTCCTAGGATAATTCGCTAAATTTGGCAAGGAGATGGGAGCTAAAGGTGTTTAAGCAAGGTTTATCATCAGAAAACTTGGGAGGAAATTCCTACTAGGGTTCCCAAATGTGGTGACCTTGGAAGTTAGAACAAATGTTACTCGTAGAAAGCTAATATTTGGTTAGTTTTGTAATATATGCTTCCTACAATGTTAAAGATTGGGGACTTTGACACTACGGCTTACCTGTTCTTGCATGTAAGTTTGGGTCAAAACAGGCAAGCAATCCCAGCAACCGAGAGGGAAGCTACTAAGTGCAATATTAGCAGTCCCTCACTCCCTCATATGACGCTAACAAGAAAAATGGACACATGAGATTTACTTCGCTGGTGCAAACATGTTGAATATGGAGGTCACCATTTAAAAATTTTATCCTTGCAGGTCGATAGTATGCTGAAAAATAGTAATCCTCTCAAATGCACTATTAATTAAAGCTGGAAGATATCAAACGGATTGATCAAAGTCAAATTATCAAGTACATATTCAAATACAGAAACATGAAAGACTAGACCAACTATTTCAAAGATCTTGACTCTAAATATTCTATTTGAGATGCCAAAGACTCGAAGGATAAAGCGGACTAAAGAGTAGGAAAGCAAATGATATAAGAAACTTCATTCTTTCAGTTACCAACATGATAATACTACGTATAAGTTAACTCTAGCTGATTACTAATCACCAAGAATCATCATCATCATCGTCATCTTCTTTATCAGATATTGCATACTTAAAATAATCGCTGTCTTTATCAGAATCACCAGAACTTAACCAATACTTATTGACCTTGCCACCATCCTCAAGATGACTCCCACTTCCATCATCCTCAAGATCACTCCCATTGCCATCATCCTCAAGATCACTCCCATTGCCATCATCTTCAAGATCACTCTCCCTGCCATCATCATCATCATCATCCTCAAAATCACTCTCACAGCCATCATCATCCTCAAGATCGCTCTCACTGCCATCATAGCAGTCATTATCAGAGTCATCTTCATGATCAGAATTCTTCATCTGTATCTGAGGCATGGGAACCCTGCCAATTTAGAACAAATATTTATTCATTAAAATATGTGCCATACAAATATTGGAACAATTCTAAAAATTAATCAAGTACAAAATACCTACCCTTTGTTCAGGAGAATCTTTCTATGAATACTATCCATGATCGGTTGTATAGCAGTCTGTAATGTTACCTCCCAACAATAAGAGAAATAGTTAGATAGCAGAACATAAATAGTGCTGTAAAAGTCCATCTGGCACAGGATAATGAGAGAAAGGCATCCAGTGACTTTATAACACAAGTGCATCTCTAATAAACTAACAAGTCTTGTTTATGAAAAGGTAATAGCAATGAAATTGCAGGAGTGTATTAAGTTCATGAATACATTAAAAAAAACTGATTTAAAAAAATAAAATAAAAAAAAAAAAAAAAAAACGAGCAAAGTTTTGAGCAAAATGCTACAATATTATAATGTACTCCATATTTCCAATCCAATGAACAAAACCAATGTAAAAGATGCTCAAAGAGCAATGATCATGTAATTCTGATGGCACTTAAAAAAAGCCTTCTCCACAAGGAAAAGGTGTCATAGTTCATCAAAATCCTACTCCATTCAAGACTAATAGCTGCATGATTATCAAAATGAGCATGCTTAAAAAATTCAATTAAGTACGCTACACATCTGTCGTACCCTTCTAGGATGAATACAAACATCTCATTTCATCCCCAACCCTGTAACATCTCCAAATCCTCATGCTATTGTGACTTAGAGAATTTGGCTAGAGATATTGTATAATTGAACATAGAGAACATATTTTAGAAAACTATTTTAGAGCATAGAGAACATATTTTAGAAAATTATGAGAAAATAATGATCCTTCATTCAATGTAAAATAATTAATTCACCCATATGTAGGAAGTTCATGAAGTTTGTGTATATGGAAAATATGTTGGGTAGTATCTAATATTCATTTAACAAACCCAAAGGTAATCATAGAATACTTTGGAGCATTCATCAAATTGTAAAGAAAGTTGTTAAGACTTAGACAGATTCAATGCTAAATATCAAGTTAAATGCTTTTGTTGAGAAAGGTGAAAAACTGTTAGTATATGCCAGCAAGTCTTTTGCTTTGCTGCTTGTGGATTGAGATCAAGGGGAGCCTTCCTAAATAATTTTTCTTGACCTTTAGCTACAACCCCTAGTTCTTTGTTATATATGTTGGCTAATTTTTAACATTGCACTCTGTTTTGAAGGTTAATAAACTTTTATATTTACTATTAAAAAAAAACCAAAAAACAAAGGTGAAGGTACTCTAAGTCATCCAAGAATAATTAGCTTTCCTTTAAGACAAGGATGCCTAATCAGTTTTCAATTCTATCCATCAAATAGTGCTCCTTGGCAAAGTAGAAGTACTGTTAAATTATACCAAACAAAACGTTTGTTGCAATTATAGATGGATGCCAAAAGAAGAAGAACTATATTAACTTAAGAAAATGACACACCGGTGGAAACATTTAAGCCTTGTATGAGACAAAATTGTTCATTGGTACCTATCATCAACTAAAAACAAAAAGAAACAGAAATGTAAGCTAGCTGAGTGATTTCTCAAAATATATGACCGGATAAATTGAACGTTCAAATCAATATCATCCATAAATAAAAGCCATCGGCTAAACCATTGATGATTACAAACATGATTAATTAGCTAAAAAACTAACAAGAATATAAACTAAGCACAAAGCATTAGAATAAAAGATATGATCAAACCTCATAGTTTCCGTCCTCCTCATCAATCTTGGTTGTTGCAAAAGGTGAAACGAGACTCTCAACATAATCACCAGTTGTTGCCATGTGAGAATATTTTTTATCTCCACGGACTTGTTCTAGAGCTTCCTTACATGGGTCAATTAGCTTCAATTGCTCAAATTGTCGCACCAAACACTTGTCTGTCTTAGAGAAATTATAAAATAAAACATTTGTAAGATCAACAGTGAATAATTTCTCCCAAGTACCCGTTTTATCAACATATTTCAGCATCCAAAAGTCCCAAATATCACGGCTATTATTCCCTTTAGAACCACGATACGTCAAATGCCCTTTAAACCGATATAAATCCACTTTACTGCACCAACACGAATCATCTGGCCATGGAATTTCTTTAAACTTCTCACTAATTAAATCAAATCCAACAATATGTTTGGCCTTAAAGTATTGGTCATAACACTGAACAAGTCTAGGCGGCCAGTATAAAGTGTCATCAATCAGCAATGCTTCATCACCTAATCTCACAGCAATCGGAAGTTCACGCCTATTAAATTTACCAACAATTCTTTTCCATTCTCCATCCCTTAACGAAAACACATAAAAACCTCGAAACTTCCTAGTACGAGTTCCAAATGCAGCAGCAATTTTATAATCATCATTCGATGTATCATAACCAAAGCCGTAAGCTAAAACATCGGGTATATTGTTCGGATTAGTAATCTCGCGATAATCATCAGTGGCAGGGTTCCATACAATAAACTTTCCAGCATACTCTTCTTTATCACACAAGCAAAGAAGGCCATTACAAGACCCGACTAAAATTGGGAAAACTTCGATACCTCCGCAACCTAATCCAACTAAATCTTTCACACTACTACATTCATTATAGGCTAATGAAAAAAAAGAAATCATGCTTTCCACAAAATTCAGGAGAATAAGGAAGAAATAGAAATTTAGGGCGCAAAGACGAAAATTTAAGATGAAATTCTGCAAATTTACGGGAAGAAATTATAAAGAGCCAATACTTACAAACAGATTTGAAGCGAATTAAGGATTCTACCGGAAGTCTTGCCAAAATTTCTTCAATCAAAATGTGGTCGGGAAGACTTAGGGTTAGGGTTTCCGATGGATTGTTCTTGCTCTTTTTGGAGTCGGATTTAGCTTCCAAATCCGCCATTTTCGTTTGAAAATCTGTGAATTTTTTGCAGAAGTTATGGAGTTAAATTGGAGAAGATGAGTGAGTCTTGAAATTAGAAGTGGGGGATAATAAAATGGCGGAAGTGGGCAACTTAAAAACTGGCGAATATTGCGATTGCGCGGGAAGGATAAAGTCGGGCCCTTATCGGCCCAACCCGACCCAAACACATGACACTGGACTTAAAGTACTAAAGTGTAAACCGTGTAACTAATTCGGATAATATCTAAAATCCTTTTTTATTTTCTTTAAAAGAATCTTAAGTCTAATTTTATCTATTCTAAGTTCAATAAAAATCAGTAAACTTTAAGAAGAAATATAATAGAAAATCAGTAAAAATAATTTTAGTTCAGCAAAATTAATTTTAGTTCAGTAAAATTAAGGTAAAGTGAACAGAGCCTAAATGGAATTATTGATTTTTTTTTATTTTTTTTGAAAATCGAATCAGGTTGAGGGTGACTTGATTAGAAAAAACCGAACAAATTAAAGCTATAAAAATTATTTTCGACTTAGTAATGCTGGTAATGTGGATGAATGCTTAGCTTTGTTGGAGTTGTGGCAAAAAGTTCTTCGAGGCTTGTCTCTTCTTGTACAAGATATATACAAATAAATTCACATATACATAGTATTTTGCATAATAATGATACTCCCTCCGTTGCATAATGTTAGTCTCATATGGAATCAATCACATAAAATAAAAAAGAAAAATATTTGAAATTTAACATTTAAGTATCAAATAATTCATAATTAGTTTACCTTATTTAAGTTTTTGATTTTTTTTTTTTTTTTGGCGAAATCATAAGTCATAATGCATAATTCAAGATGATATTTTCTTACTTAGAGTCATGTCATCAATCTACAACCAATTAATTCCAAAAAAATTAAGTTAAAAATGGAACATATTCAATATGAGTAGATCTTTTCGAAACGCCCAAAATAGTATAGGGACTAACATACATCATGAAATGGAGGGAGTATTATAAATATTGAAAGTGAAGTTGAAAGAAACAAATAAGAGAAAGGAAATAAATCATTTAACTCTTACCTTTATTTTTATTTGTTTAGTTTAACTAAGGAAACGAGTCATTTTAAACCAAACTCCTTAGGTTTTAGAGAGGTAATATAGATAAAAACTAATTATTCCTAACTAATGCTAATTGTTACCCAAACCTTCTAATTGAAACATATACTGTGAAATTGATTCTATTCTATCCCAACCCTACCAATATATGGAATATAACAATATTTCCATTAATATAAACTTTCCTAGATGATTTTTTATAAGGAAAATTTCTTAAATAATCTCCATTGTCTTGAATCTCTCTTATTCCTTGTACGTATAGTAGCTTTGTACTCCAAATACAGATACTCATAAAATTTTACACTCGTTGTATGTTAAGGATTCTATTTGATTGTTGTTATGGGGTAATTTTGTACATTGGTTGGCCGATGATGATAGTCAACGACCGACGACGCGAGACCGAGTCAAGATGGTTATGAGTGCTCCCTAAAATAATGGAGAGAATATGTCACAAAGAACAAGTTATGGAAGCTGTTAAACGTATCTACACCCTATATAAGTCCACATTCATCGGAAAACCAAGTAAAGACGTCAACAACTATTTCCTATTTTCATGGAGGACACCCCCACTACTCTCCAATAACCTACCTAAATACCTTATAAATAGAATCACTTCCCTCTCATAAAGACCAGGCCATTTCCCACGTATAACAGACATTTCCCCTCTATAATCCTTTTTCTCTAGATTCCACTCCACTCATCCATGATTAACCATATATACATTATCTACTTTATTCATCCTAAACCTTCCTCATAATCCCAAGAACAACTGTAGCATTGTGATATATAGAACAAGCCATTTGATCTTCCGCCAAATAGATATTCCACTACAAATACTCCCATCATGCTACTATATTTTAATCTTTTGTATGCTATTGCAAAGATATATTTCTACCCACAATACTACACTTAATCAATCTCCCTGCCGTACTACACTAGTCCTATGCCTAATATACATACATTTATTTATACTCTTTTATGTCATCAAGCGTTAAATACACATTGTAATTGTAATTGTAATTATTGGCTTTATGCCCATATTATAGTGGATTGGTGGATTCATTGTCACTCGCAATTTTTACCCATCTTTATCGGGGTTTTTCGCGTCACCATATCGTGTCTCCCCTCTTTCCCTTTATTTTTCCGTCATTTATTTTCCGCATTTTATGTTCTCTATTTTAATTTAGCCCGTATACCTACATCAAATCATAAGTGTGAAATTTAGCATAAACAATTACTATGCTATATTCATATGATATTGGTAAATATAGGATATGATATGTATTATGGGTGGTGATGTATATCCTAGAGATTCTATCTCAAGAGGGAAATATGTACGCTACATATATGCTGAATGAATGCATTGATGGGCAAGCTTGAACCCGTTACCTAAATATTTACATTGTACCTTTTAGATTAGTATTAAATTTTAAAAAATAAGAATCAGAAAATTCATTATCTGAATCAATTGTAGACAAAACTCGTGCATCACTATCAATATAATCTATTGAAAAATTAACATGACTCTTATGAGGCCAGGTTCATATGTGACTTATATTTTAGAAAATAAACTAATACTCCCTCCGTTAATTTTTATTTGCAACTTTAGGGGGAATCGCGGTTCACGAGGCAAAAGTTAAGGGGCAAATATTAGTGGGGTTAATTGAATGTGATTAAAGTGTTTGGAGAGAGAAAGGTTTGTCCCACCACTAAGAAAAGTAGTGGGAAAACAGTGAACAACTTTTGGAGGGATTGTATTTCCCCCCAATTTCGTTGACATTTTGTAACCACATGTTCAATGGAATAGAAATGGTTAAGAGTCTGATGTTAAGTGGGCACTCAATCCATCAGAAGTTTTTTTTTTCCATGTTTCAATAAACCACCAACCACAAGGTTACCTCAACAATAACAGCATAAAGCACATCATTGGAGCAAAACACTTGTGGGTTGGGAAGGTCAATAGAGTCCCTTCCTCATTTGGATTTTGACAGAGTACACAACACAGACACTTAGGGGACTGAATACAAGTCATGCTACCACATAAGGGACTGTCATGTGTTCTCTACTTAATAGATCATTGAGAACACTTCAAGGTATGACCAAGGCACCTTTAAAAAATATACAAACACATTATCCTCCTCATTCACCAATCAAACACCCATATGACATTTTCCAACAATCCAACAGCTGCTAAAATATACTCCAACACATGCATACATGCAACATAGTCCAGAACAGCAGACATAGCCAAGCATCCAACTGACCAGCCAATAACAAACAGGCTATCTAGCCAACAAATTCCGGAACAGCAAACATGACAAAAGAGCAGGCAATCAAAAACAGGCAACCATCCATGCTAAAATATACTCCAACACATGCATACATGCAACATAGTCCAGAACAGTAGACATAGCCAAGCATCCAACTGACCAGCCAATAACAAACAGGCTATCTAGACAACAAATTCCGGAACAACAAATGTGACAAAAGAGGAGGCAATCAAAAACAGGCAACCATCCAACATCAATCCAAATCTACGCATACAAAACAAACTAAGCCAACATGCATCCAGATCCAGTCACAGAATCCCACAACACCAACCAATTAACAAAGCTAATCAACAGTATATCGAAAAAATCAAAAAATAGGGACTCTTTTTAAAAAAAAAAATTAACACACGAAGGGTTAGAAAGCGTTACGCAAGGGTCACTTGGAGGGTTGAACCCTAAGGTTCATCCGCCTCGCAGAGCGCTTCTTCAGAAGAGGGCCAACCACTTCACCATCGTCACCTTGGTCAGCCTCGTCATCAGAAGTCAGGATAATGACCTCCTTGGCAGGCAACCCCCGAATACGACTCAAAGCCACCCAGGCCGCCTTCTTTTTAGGCCGAATCTTGCGTGGTGGCTTTGGATTGTTAGATCTGGGCTTAGTTTTGGGCATAACACTCCCCTCAACACTGTCGCACACTGGATCTATAGAAACACCAGTGCAGTCTAGCGCTTCTTTTCCCCGTGAATCTCCTTGACCCTCACCGGTCTTGCGACGCTCATCCTTGTCTACGCTTTCAAGAACTTGGCCCAAGGCCTTGTATGTGGTCGGAGAACAGTAATTCAGGGCCTCCTCAAACGCGTATAACTCACGAGGAAAAGGAGATCCTTCGGCGATACCTGTCATCAGGGTTTTTATCAAGTTTTCCTCGCCCTCGTCATCGGTGGCGATATAAGCGTCGCGAAGTGGAGATAGGTTAACCATGGTGGTGGGGGACTCTTTTTTTTGGAAGTTGAGAGGACGAAAACTCAGATTTCAGGAGGAACAATGGAGAAAATTACAGAGGCGAAGGAGAGTGAAAGTCGAAGAACCAGATCTAGGGTTCTTAGGAAGACTCGAGAAGCCAGAAATAATCCCAATGTTTTTTCAATTAAATGTTGGTGGTTGGGAATGTGGCTGTTGGGATTGGATTGGGGGAAATAAGGAGGGAGTAATTAGATTAGGTTAATTTAGATGTTTTGTATGTAATGTGGGATTAGGGTTAATAAGGGGTAGAATTAAAAAAATCACAAAATTTAAGTAAGGGTAAAATAGTAATTTTAGGGTTTTTGTTTACCAAAAATGGAAATAAATTAGAAAGTTGCAAATAATTTTTAGCGGACTAAAATGGCAAAAGTTGCAAATAAAAATTAACGGAGGGAGTATATAAAACTAAATTTTTAGTCAGGGCACGAGACAGCTACACCTGACGTTTCAACTTTTTGTCAAGTGTCGTGTCACGTAGGCAAAAATTAATTATTAATATGACACGTATAATAAAATATTGAATAGATTTAGATAGATTTTGGAAGATAAATAAATTAGTTTAGAGCTTTATTTTCAATAAAATTGGATAGATTTATAGGATAAAATGGTTGGTTTAGAGTTTTATTTAAATATTTGTATATAAATATTTTATAAATTCGTTAACTTTTTACCAAGTATCTCGCACACAAACATTGATATGACATTTCTTATATACAAAATAAATTATATTTTCAATAAATATCTTATAACTCTATTATGGAGTATTTGTTTATATATGAAATTCGTTTTTAAAAGGTAATTTAAAACGAGATTCATTTAAGATTATTTAAATAAACTGATAATAAAAAGTACACAACTATATATGATGGTTATATTGTAATTCATAATTTTTCAAAAGACGTTGCGAATATTATTAAATTAAATCAAGATCCGCCAAAGTTTGAAGACTTTGGGGGAAATTAGTCGTATTACCCGCCTATCAAACACGAGCACAAATAAGGACATTAAAATTACAACTTATCTTAAAATATCATCCAATAACATAAAAATAGGTGCAATTCCAAACTGACTTCTTCTTATTGCTACTTGCTTCTTTCTCAAGAATTGTTCGTATCAATAATATGTTTTTAAATTTGGCATATAAATAAAAAATGTTTATCTTTAAATTTAATAAACAATGCGGGCATTGTTCGGGGCACAAAACTAATATTATATATAGCTTTGAGGGTTACATATAAAGAATTAAATATAGAAAAATAAAAATAAATTTAATACTTATTAATTACACCGATTTGTGGATAATTTTATCATACAATCATAATTTTATCACCGATTTAGTACGTATTAAATTCGGAAATGTACATATATATATATAATTAGTTTTTTTTTTTTTTTTTTTGACTGGTATAATTAGTTTAACTTGTGGGCTTTCCTCAAAAAAAAAAAAAAAAAAAAAAAAAAAGTTCATTCTGTGGGCTATCGGCTATGGGTCTTGCCCTGATGTTAGAGATATCACTGCAAATTTTCAAAAATTTCTTTTAACGAATTATTTTAGGATTTGAGTCTTTATTATCTCTAATCGTCTATAAAAACAGATTTTCAGTTTTCATACGTAACATCTTACATAAAAGTCAGTTTTCTCTCTTTTGTTGAACCCGTCTTTCTTCATACAAAAATGGCGAGAACAAAAATTGTAAGCGCAGCAGCTATGGAGGCAAAGCTCCACGAGGCATCCAAGTAGGAAAAAAGCCGTGCACTACACACCGTCGCTACTCAGTGATCACCGAGGGTGGGTGCCCTATCATGAATTTCAGCTTGAAAGTAGCCAATCATGTATTGCAAAAAAGTCTTACGGAAAACAATAATAGTCCTATGAACGTGATATTATCTCCGCTTTCAATCGACGCCGTGCTTAACATCTTGGCCCTAAGATGTCACGGTCCGACGCTAGAGCAATTGCTTGAGCTACTTGGGTGCAACGACGTCAAAGAATTTAATGAGATGGCGTCGGGTTTAGCCGATGTGCTTAAGGAATCAAAGGGTGATGATTGTGTTCTTATTGGTGGCAAAACTTGATCTCTGTAGTCTGTAGAATTACAAATTAAACCTTATTTTGCTCTTATTAAACATTATTGTGTTCTTATTTCTTAAAAAAAAAATATAATTATTAATTTCCTTAACATATTTCATCATTTTATGAAGGATGAAGTAAAGCAAGTGGTAAATGAGGTGAACATTTGGGCTGAGGCAATGTCAAAGGGCTTTATTAAACAAATAATTTCGGAAAACTTGATTGCTAAAGACACCATGTTGATATTGTTAAATGCCATGTACTTCAAAGGAACATGGGTTAACAGATTTAAGACTGAACACACTGAAGATGCAGACTTTTACTTGCTCAATGGAAACAAAGTTGAAGTCCCCTTCATCAACAAAACTTATACGGGCTTCGAATATGGAACTTTCGAGAGATGTCAAGTCTTAAGGATGCTATACAACGAAGAAGAAGTCGAAAAGGGTGAAAAGGCAAGGAGTTTCTCAATGTACATTTTCTTGCCTGAACAAAAGGACGGGTTGCCAAATCTAATGCAGAACATCAATATAGACGCGAAAAAACCCCCCAAAACCCTACATGAGCAGCCGCCCACTATTACCCTTCATTTCACTTTCTCTCCTTGTCATTTCTCTTCTCCTTCTCCTTCCTCCAGCTTTCTAGCTCCTCGTCATTTCTCTTCTCCTCCTCCTTTTCTTTACTCTCTCATCCTCCGTCCCCGCCGGACATTGCTGCCCCAACCGCCACGCCCGCTGCCTCTTCGCTCTTCCCTATATGCCATTTTCATATTTTAAGTTTTTTAAGGTCAATTTCGACCAAGTTGGTCGAATGTGGCCTTATTAACCAAGTTTGAGGTGAAATTCGAACCAATTTCAAATTTTGAGGTATGTTTTCATGTTTTTAATTTTTTTAGCTTTGTATTTATTTATTTTTTTTAAAAAAATAAAATAAAAATAAATAAATAAATAAAAATTGGGTGGTGGTCTGGTTTTAGGAGGGTGGTGGTGGGTGTGTCTGGGTCGGTGTTAGGTTTAGGTGGGTTGTAGTGGGTGGGTCTGGGTCGGTTTAATGTTTTAGGTGGGTTTTGGTGGGTGGGGATCTGGGTCGGTTTTAATTAGGTTTTAGGTGGGTTATGGTGGGTGTGTCTGGTCGATTTTAGGTTTTAGGTGGGTTTTGGTGGGTGGGTCAGGGTCGGTTTTAGGTGTAGGCGGGTTTTGGAGGGTGGATCTGGGTCGGTTTTAGGTATAGGTGAGTTGCGCTGGATCGGTTAGGGTGGTGGGTGGTGGTTGTGGGGAATATTTGAGGAGTTTTTTATTTTTTATTTTTTTAATTTTTTTATATGTTGTGGTGGGGGATAGTGGCCACGCTGAGGGTGGAGGTGGTGGTTTGCGGTGGGGGCTAGTGGTGGTATGGGGTGGTGCGGGCTTTTTTTTTTTTATATTTTTTACAGGATTTACCGACAGACTTTTCCGGGCCGGAAAACCACTTCCGACGCATGAATTCGGACGGAATTTCCGTCAGAAAAGTGTTTCGACGGAAATTTCGCCAGAAAAGGTCAATTTCCTACAAATATGTTACGACGCCACTTTCCGACGGAATTCCTTCGGAAACACGATTTTCGACGGAAAATAGGGTGTTTCCGATGGAATTTTTCCGTCGAAAATGACCTGTTTTCTAGTAGTGAATCTCCATTACCTAACTTTGAATCATTTTTCTCGAGCCGTACGAGGAAAAAACCTCCTATACGTTTCCAAGAAAAGGTTGTGAGCAGTCTCAAGGGAAGCCCGAATAGCGGATAGTTTGAACGGTGGAAAGCGACCCCTAAATCTAAATAAGTGGCGAAGGTTGATGGCTTCGCTAAACCTTGCTGCCTTTACCTTCAAGTCCTCCGATCCTCTTCCCGCCTAGGTCGGGACTGACGGGGCTCGAACCCGCAGCTTCCGCCTTGACAGGGCGGTGCTCTGACAGGAAGTTGGTGGGCTCATCATGAATTAGGTCGGGGTGGCTGGTATACTACCATAATGAAACTGCCTTTTCTTTGGACTCCCATCCTCGGGAAAGTCCCCAACAGCAACTGGATCAATCTTTGTTGGCTGGCTTGCTTGTGAATGCAGTCGTTAAGCCAACAATGCTAGGAAGATGGACAGAAAAGGTAGCTTGCTTCCGAGACACTTATACAGTACTAGCAATCAATTAGATTCCGACTGCCTTAGCCTTGATGAAGCATAGCTTGTCGTTTGATGCTACTCTTGGGAACATTGAGACATCGACTTTAAAGCATCTCGTAGTTGATCGGTACTGCCATCAACAGTACCAACATGGACAAGGACTGCTGAGCATGGATAGAACGAGAGTCGAACTCGCGACTCAATCACTCTTTTTGTTTGGAAGATCATTCGTTCTTCACTCTCTTGCTTTTTTTTACCCGCGGGGAGCGCAGCACCTATAATCCTTCTTTAGGGAGGGCTCTGAGCCTCTTCCTGCTGATCGGACGGAGAATTCCAGCCATCCATCGGTCCGAGTCACGCCGGTACAAAAAGAGAAATAGAAGCAAAGCTAATCGAGAGGAGGAAGACATGGCCCCGCGCGCTACACACAAGAATGAATTGTTATGCGATCGGTAAACTATTTCTGTAGGCAGCCTATCAAATCAAATCGGATCTGATCGTAGCTTCGAGTTCAGGTGTCGTACCGCGGCCGGGTTGGCTTTGGCTAGGTGGAAAAGCTCAACTCAAGGCCTCCCTTCCTTACCACTAAACTGTAGCTGAAGACGAGCTCGTCTTCGGCACGGGCAAGGTCCCCCCCGAGGGGGCTAGGAAAAGCGGAAATAAAAAAATGGAATACGAAAGAAAGTGTCACACGAAACGGAAGAGGCTTTCCGGCCGATTGTCCTCAGAATGGGGGCCGAACAATTTTCATTGCCTTGCTTCCCGCTACGACACCGGTTCTATTGAAACTGCTAACTATGATTCGGATTTTCTGCTGTGAACCTAAGGAGCGTAGCGAGATGATCTTTCTATTTCGCAATGAACGATTTCGGTTCTTTGTACATGTACGTGGGGTTCATTGATACGGGGAAGGTTGTCTCCACCATAACACTGTAGAGCAGAAAATTAACATGGCTAACTTTGTTAGTATCGTATAATAGAAATATTAGATATATTATCCTCCACAATTAACTATTCTATATTATCCTTCCGGCAAAACAAAATATCACCCAAGACCAATGTTATATGAAATACATGCATCATACTAAAGTCGAAATTCGGAATCAAACGTATCAGTGGAAGAAAGGGTTAGGAAAATACTTATTATCACTAACTTTATTTCAAAATAGATAATTTTTATTTATTGTATACAAAAATATAATTATATTAATTATTTAGTCAACTCTATGCATGGATGGCCAAGATTTAATACCAAATTTAAAGGTCCAGATTGAAAGATTACAATGGCAACAATATTTTTGTAGCCATTGCAAAATTGTCCATAAATTATGACATGTAATTGAAAAAATGTCAATAGTGCAAATGGTGCAACATTTTTATTATGGAATTGAATTTTTTTTTCTTAAGAGAATTATTCAACCCTTTAATTCTTACTTTCTTAAAATTGAATATATTTGAGAATATTTGTAATCAACTAATCCAACCCTTTAATTACTTGTTTTACCGAATATATCTTGTTCTTGCTATATTAATAAATTCAATTATTCAAAGTATCGTACCTTGTCAAAGGGGATCCAATAGTAATCCTTAATTACCTACGTATAAGTCATGGGAAAACATGCATATAAATACACGTACATATATACACCTCTTATCATATGCATTAAATCTCATTCCATTCATCTGTTTTGTGCAAAAAATCCTTAGCTTGTTCTTAATTTTAATTTTTTCATAACAAACCAAACTTTAATTTAGGCAATTCCACAAAAATGAGTTTCTCTTATAATAAGATAATTAAATCATTGATGATCTTGATTCTGTTCTTGAGCTTCAACCTTCTTGTAGAGCATGGAAATTGTAGGCCTTTAAAGGGTGATGACAACGTTCATTATAAGCGCGACGACAACGTTCAATGGATGAAGGAGGAGGCTAATCTTGTTTCATTGGAGGTTAAGTCTAAAGGAAAGCCTTCCCCACCATCGCATTCACGAAGCCCAGGTTACATTCCTGGTCCTCCAGGAAGAAATTGAGCTTGACCCTTAAGCTCATGCATGTGCTGTTGAAGAAAATACGTAGTAACTAAAAGAAGAGGAAGTAATATTATTTTTGGTTGAATAAGTTCTTATAGATTTATAATGATATTTAATTAACTTAATTATTCTAATCTTTGTAGTGTACTTGATGAGGTTATATACACATTTATGTATAAACATTAAAGAATAATTAGTTTGTACTTTGTACATCGTATTTGTTTATTAAATGACTAGCTTTCCTTCAAAAAAAAATAAAATAATTAAATGACTGGTGAGTTTTGTGTTTATTGAATTTTAAGATAAACTATTTATTTATATCCTAATTTTAAAACATATCATTAATACAAACAGTGTTATGTAAAAGGTGGATAATTTTTTTTTATTTAGGATATTTTGACATAGGATATCATGAGAAAAATATTTAAATTATTCAAATTTTCTACTCATAGATTAATAATCAATTGACAATTAAAAATATAATAGTACTACTGCTCATAAGGTTGTGGGTGGATCTGAGAAAGAGTTTGGACTCTTTGGTGGTTCTTGAAAGTAACACAAGTAGCATAGTTATAGCAATTAAAAGAAATTAGTTTGGAGTTACACCAATTTATGTTTGACATGCGGGTACTGCGGCTACCCATATGGTAGCTAAATAAAAGAATGATATAAATTTGGAATACTTAAGTACGTACGACTGATTTTCCCAAAGTCTCCAAACTTTGGCAGATCTTGATTTAAGTTAATAATATCCGCAACGGTCTTTACAAAATTATGAATTATAATAAAACAATCATATAAGGTTTTGAACTTTTTATTATTATAAGTCGATTAAAAACAAAATTCATTATATATATATACTCCGTAACAGACGTATAAGATATTTATCGAAAGTTACTCCCTCCGTTTTTTGCTTCATTGGGACTTTTGACACTATTTACTTGACCCACATTATCCAATATTTGTGTATACATAGGGAAAAAACGTATATGATATAATAATTTATTTTTCTAATGACTTTTTAAAGATAAAAATAGCAGCTTATTAACTTGTTTTGCATATCTTCGTAGAATATAATAAAGGGCGCTAATATTGCCAAGGCAAAAAAAGCCATTGTCAAGGCAAACTATCTACCCTTTGCCCGTAATCTTTGAGTATCAAAATATATCAAACTTATTAATTCAATAAAATACTTTGTCGTATTTTGTTGCCTATAATATTAGTAACTAGATATTCCAATTAAAATCTTTCCAACTCCAACTACTAATTATTTACGTTAAAATATGCAATTAATTAAATTATTCACCATCATAGACTCATCCATATAATCCTCTTATAATCACTAAATTTAACATTTTATTGGGAGAGATACCATTATCAAAGCTTTACAGGTATTGGCTACCTCTAAATTTGTTTATTAATAAATTTTATTTATTTATCAAGCCCTTAATTTGTTTGTAATTGACTATTAGTAAAGGTGTTTTCATATCAACTTAAAACGTATTGATGTTCTACCTTTACTATTAAATTTACCATTAAACAAATTTCATATTTACTTTTTAGGTGTAAGAAAATAAAGATTAATGATTTTTTTTTATTTATAAAAAATAGCACTATGTTTGTATACGTGTTTTACTTCAATTCTCAAACTCTAAAAATCTAGTTGTCGGACATTCTTAAGAATTGGTTTCAAAAACTTGTTAAAGTAGACAAAGGGATTTAAATATTGCATCTTAATTATTTACCTTTTTCTTTGGCAGATTATGGATAATCATATAGTGATGGAAGAAGATGTGCATGTTATGTTTAGGACACAGTATCAAACTCGTGAAGCACTCCTTGAAAATGTATTAAACGTATTGGAGTTAAATTAATAAGATTTTAATTAGAATATTTAGCTACTAATATTATAGGCAACAAAATATTATAAAGTATTTTATTGAATTAATTGAAGGAGTGTCCTCGATCAAGTACAACAATTACTAAATATAATATAGGATTAATTAAGGAGATTATTATAATCGGTTATTTTAGGTAATCATGATGTTTTGCTAGAAACCAACTATGATTTGTGAACTAGTGCGATAAGTTTACTACTAATAATAATCCGGTCATATGAGGTCACACATATGAATATATGATTGAATTAAGATGCATGAAAAGGCATTAAAGCCCAAGAAATGCGATTATGTGAAGAGTTGTGATAGTTTATTATAAATATGACCAAGTGACATAAATGAAATAAGACATCTTTCATTAATCACATAAAAAAAAATATTCTCTCTCACATAAGCACCAGTAAAAGCAATAAGGAATTGTTCCTTGTTCCGTACTAGCATACGTGGAGATTCTATCATTGCTCGTGGACCATATTAGAGGAACGACAATTGACGTTCTAAAGATCTCTAATTGAAGAAAGAAGTGCCCGCTTACTTTGTGAAAATCACGCATCGAGGGTATGATATTCTAATCTTATAATTCATATTATTATATACATGAGATCCTATTTTAGGTGCTAAGAAATTGTTTCTTGAAATTTTGTTAAGTGCATCTAATATGATCCTACAGTGGTATCAGTTTGCCTCTTGCGTATAATAATATGATCATAATTAATTCGATTAATGTGATGGCGTATAATGTTAATTTTATTTTCATTAAGGGGAGGTATTGTAGTATTGAAATTAAAATTTAAAACCCCAAATTAATTAGAATGGAGATTTTAATTAATTTGTTATATTAAGTTTTTTTAATCAGACTAAACCGCATTAAAGATCACCAATTAGTTTTACAAAAGTTGTAAAATTAATTATTTTTGAGTGGAGCAGCCACGGCTGGGTGGAAGACCCATCTGAGATGGGCCACGGTTGCTGCTCCGGTGGTCGAGGAGAACTCTGGCGACCAGGAAATCATCTTCGCCACGACCAGGGGCCACGAATTTCAGAAATTCGTTGGCCATGGAGTAAACTCCGGCCACGAAATTCAGAAATCCGGTGGTAGAGGAGTAAACTCCGGCCGTTCTCGTGGGCTGCAATCGGGTTGCGCGACGTTGTGGGCTGCCGTTGGCTGGAACCGTCCCGGCAGGCGGTTGCTTCACGGCGTTTCATGGCTGACGGTTTCTTTATATTCTGGGAGTTCTCTGTTCTTTTTGGAAAAGATGATATGTATTCAGTATTTTGGCACCAACCAGGCTAGGATTTTAATAAAATACTTTCTCATGAACATACCACTTGGCATATCGCTATCATTAAAAGTATTTATTCTCTATGATATAAGCCTTGTTGATGATTAAGTATTAAATATTTATTGCCCCTTTCAAAAAAAAAAAAAAAAAAATATTTATTGCCTGGCTTGTTCCTAATCCAATATTGGTTATATTATTATGCTTATTTAAATTTACACATGTTACTCTTATTTATGGTATAAGTTCTCTAATAAATAAACCAACATAGTAAATTAGGTCCCTGAAAGCAATATTGAGATATGTTTTTCCCAAACAGACACCTATAAAGCCTTTGATCATAAGTAATAGGTTCCGCCAAAGCGGGGTGTTGCATATAATCTCGGGAATATAGGGTAATATTTATGAAATTTACATGTCACTGTTTGGTTTTGCTCAACAACATTATCAAAAGACAAAGTTTTGGGTCTTGAAACATATAGATGGAAACAAAAGTTGTTATCTATCAACCAAGAATTATATGAGATGTAATTAGTAAAGGTTGTTTACTTACCAATAAAACATTAGATTTTATACATAGGGCCAAAGTCCGCTTAAATTTTTGTTTTAAAGGATCTTGATATTCACATTAATTATACGAGATAATTTTTAAAATGTGATAAGTAGCTTTGAATTGTTCAAATTTTGTATGCTACTATGATGAACACATAATTAAATTTTGCTATACTTCTATTGTAGATATCATGTCTAGTAACAACAACAACAGTCCTAACTTACGTTCATACCTTGAGAAGGATAAATTGAACGCCACTAACTTCCTTGATTGGAAAAGGAACCTAAGAATAGTTCTTAATTAGCGCCGAAGGAAGAGAAGATGTCCTTGACACCCCTATCCCAGTTTTGACAGCCACATCATCAGATGCTGAAAAGGCCAGTCAAAAGGTTGTTAAAGACAAATCAGTGTTTGTCACATGTCTCATGCTAGCTTCCATGGAACCAAACCTTCAAAAGAAGTTTGATGGTATGGATACTCATAGCATTATCCAACAACTGAAAAAGATGTTTCAGAAGCAAGCAAGGATTGAGAGATACGAGAATCATAGAGAGTTGCTCCGATGTGTGCAAAAGGTTGATGAACCACTGGGAGAACATGTTTTCAAAATGATGGAATTGTTCAAGAAAATGTCTAAACTGGGAATAACCTATACCACTGAAATGGCCACTGACATAATCATGATGTCATTGCATGATGGATTTCAGCAATTCGGGCAAAACCTTAGAAGAACTGCACCGAATGCTTGTCACTGCTGAGATGGACATTCCAAAACCAAACAAAGAAGTTCTTATGGTACAAAAGGGTAAGGGGTTCAAGAGGAAAGGGAAAGGCAAAAAGATTGTCAAAGGAAAGGGCAAGCAAGTTGCTCAGACTAAGACATCTAAGCCCAAGGTCGATCCAAAAGCGGATGCCAAGTGTTTCTATTGTGATGGAATAGGCCATTCACTACGCGAAAAACATAAATAGGCACCGGTTCAAACCACCCTATGGGCACCGGTTTTGAACCGTTGGGTATTTGAGGGATGCCAAATCTCTGAAGATTTGGCACCGGTTCAAAACCGGTGGCTATTTAAAGATTTGGCACCGGTTAACCGGTACCAATTACCCATAGCGCGTTTTTTTTTTTTTACTTTTTTTTATTTCAATACAATAGGCACCGGTTTTGACTTAGAACCGGTGCCAAAAGTCCCCAAAAAAATTTTAAAAAAAACTTTTAGCACCGGTTCTTTTCCAAAACCGGTGCCAAAAATGCCCAAAAAAAATAATTTTTTTTTTCCATTTTTTTCACTTAAATTGTACCAAATACTTATATATAATCATAATATACATAAAACACATATATTTTCTTCAATAACTTGTAATATTACACTTTAAAAAACTGAAAAAAAAAATAAAAAAAAAAAAACTACACAATAATCAAAGATAAGAGGCAGTAGCAATTCCCACTGGCTTGTGTATCATCATTTGACACCGCATCAGTAATTCCAGAAAGCGCTGCAGGCTCTTTGCTGTCTTCTTTGTTTCCAAACAACTTAGAAGGAAGTAAAGAAGCAATTGCAGCTTTTGCACTGGCCTTGGCCCTTTCTGCTTCTTCAATTACCCTTCTCTTTGCTTCTTCCTTCTCCTTTTCTTTTGCTCAATTAACCTGTCCAGTTCCTCCTCCTCTCGCGCTTCCCTTCTAAATCCATCTTTGACAATTTCCTGCATGTCTTTATCAAGGTCAAGAATTTTGTAATTATTACACAGATTAACTGGAATCATGTCAACAGTTAATAACACATTTAAGGAGGAACTGATGATTCATGCCATCAGTTCTTTTATATATACCAATCTCTATGTTTATATGCATTGAATACCAATTATTCCTATATAGAGGAAATTATTGATGAAATGAAAGGTTGCATGAAACCAAATGATCAACCCTATGATACAAAAGATAATATGAATAGGATAATTTATACTGGTTTCAGTGAACTATAGAGCATGAAGTAAAGGAAAATTGTATGAAGCGTGAAATGGAAACTAGTTACAGAAAGTTACCCAATTGCGTGTGTGTTTTCTTATTAGGATGGAAATCTGGCAGATTCTGGGACAATTCACTTCAAAATATGAAAACAAAGAAGAAAAAAGATGTTCATATCATATTATGATGTAACCCAAATTTGGAAAAGGGGAAACCATGTAAAATAGGGTAACAGATAATCTATTGACAGAAGACACAAAAGATTCAGAAGCTGACTCTAAAGCAGATTCTCTTAAACAAGCTATAAAATGCCAAAATAACCCAGAATAACCATTTTCCAACCCAGAATAACCCAACATCAACATCTCTTAAACAAGCTATAAAATGCCAAAAAAAAAAATCTATCTTTACAACATATAGCATACCTCTTTGGCAAACTCAGTAGGGAGGATGTCGACAGCTGAGCATATTACACCAGTACCCTCCATGTCATAATGGTATGATTCTGTCAGTGGATCAAACCTGCAAACAGTAAATTTTATAACATGAGCCCAATTTCAGTCAACTGATATAGGGAAGTCTACATTTGCAAGTCTAATCTACAGCCTACTTACTATTTACACTACACCAAGGATTTCAATCCTATATGGCCTCCAAGTTTATTTGAATTTCTACTGATTTTGCCAGAGTTTTTTACAGTTTGATACAAATAATCTCCTAGAAACTAATCATCTTGTCAGCTGTACAAATGAAGAGAAGTAGGGTGAACTAAGAAATGAGGCAACCAAGTTACATGTTTGTATTTCCTAAATTGTAAAAAGAAACTTTGATCATGTTACCTAAAAAAAGGTGAGTCAATGATGGTGGCTTGGTTAACAAACTCAATGGATCCTCCTATGTCACATGTGATATCGGCAATACCAACAAGTGGACATCTTTGGCTCTTTAAATCTTGAAGCTGCTTTGTGGTCAGCAACCTAGGAAAACTTTGTCCCCAGTACATGCAATTGACTGCTCCCAAAAAAATCAAGTAATAAATAAGAAATCAAATTACACAGAGAGACAATACAAACTATAAATAGCAGAAAATTTTCATTTTTTAGCTTAATTGGATCAGTCGATAGTTTTATTTTTGCTTAGAATTTTCTGAGAAGTGGTGAAATGTTTTTCCATAATCTGAAAAGAATTTTTAAATCCAAGGATTAATTATGCTCAACTCCCTTTCAAAGTTACTAGTAGTAATGCGTATACTAAATGGAATAGCTAGAATGCACTGACAGTGACTGGGAAGATTATGTTCTATTTTTAGTCCAAACTCTAAAGCATCTATGGATTGGGACTCGAGAAGTCGAGAGTCTATAACTCTAAAAGCATCTCACTTAATAATAATCAATGGAAAAAATATAGCACTGCACTAGCACAAGTTATTCAGAGTCCAACTGAGAATGAATAATAACAATACAATATTCCTATAATGGAAACAAAAAATGACTCTGAGGTTCATAACAATTGACAGATTAAAATGGAAATAAGTCACACACCTAAACAAATAATCTTGAGCATACAACAGACAAGCGAAAGAAATTTCCACTTCAAACACAGATTATATACCCAGTGAAAAGCTTATATTTTTCATCGCAAGCTAAAAATTGAAACAACGAACAGTTAAGAGAAGACAAGGGACCAGGACACTCTGCCTAAACACTCTCCACAGAGCATGCAGACGTGCCTTGTGAAACTATGATGGATATCAAAACATATAACTTAGTCTCGGTAACAGCAATGTCTCAACCAAAACCTAACCCACACATTGATCCAAACTTCCAAGAGTTTCATAGAAAAAGGAAGTATAGGAAAGGAGTATGGTAACTTGGTAAGTGAGAAACTGATCAAGAGACAGAAAATACTTCACTTATGAAAAAAAGAATTAAGTTGATAAATCATTGAGTCGTTACATAGTTAACTTTGTTGGGAAAAAATCAAATCTAATACACTCTCATTATCATGCAGGAATGGAAATACATTCATAATTGGACAAGGATTACCAAGGCAGAGTAATACCATTTCCGTTTCCAGTAAAGACAATCGTTCGTTGGTCTTTTAGATTCCAGATCTCCAAGCGTTCGTTGGTCTTTTAGATTCGAAAAGCAGAAAAGCAGTAGGAGTTTTGTTGCGTTCGTAGGTCTTTTAGATCTCCAGAAATCTATGTGACTGAAATATATTAGATCCGAAATGGAACTATGGAAGTATGAACATTTTTAATTGACATAGCTTTTAATTTTTAATTTTTAATTTTTAATTGATGTTTAGTTTAATGTGATGTTTTCTTGATATTAAGATTAATTCGAATTAATTGTTGATGTTATGATGATAATTTGATGATTGGGTAAAGTTGGTATTTGTTTAGCTTATATTTGAGAAAGAAGGTTTGTGGTGGTTGGAGGTATGTGGTGACTGGAGGTGGTGGTGGTGGCTGGAGGTTTGTGGTGGCTAGAGGTGTTGTTGTTTGGTGGCGGATTGGTGAAGCGGTGGAGAAGAGGTGGCGTACGGCGGTTTTGCAATGTAGCTGCATTGTTGTTGACGGTGGAGAGGAGGGCGGAGAGTATTGAGGTGTGGGCTGCTGCAATTCGTGAGGTGGTGTTAATTATGGTGGTATTGTGGCGGCAATAGGTGGCAGGAATTGCTTGTTGTGTGGGTTGATTGGTGACGAATTGGGTGAGTATAGGGGCTGATGTGCGCTGGGCAGCAGGGGCTGATTTGGGGTTGGTGTTTGTGGGCTGAAGCGGTGGTGGCTGTTGGTAGAAGAAGTAGAAGAAGTGTAGTAATGTTGAAGAAGAAGTGCAGTACTGTTGGGGCTATATAGTGGTTCAATTTATTTTAGCTAATTCAGTGCAATTGCGTGGGGGCCAGGCTGCTTGTATCTTGTTTGACTAAATATCTTTTTACTAAATTAGTGTTTGATATTTAGTTAGTGTGGTCTAAAGGATTCAACATGAGCAGTGCGATATTTTATATGCTACACATTATAATACTAATAGAGTAATAGTGATTAGATTCATTTTAGTATTTAGGTTCACTATAAATACTTGTCATATTATTATATTATTTCATTTTAATATGACATTTCAAGACTAATAGTGATATTTTTACTGTAAATACTTGTCATAATATTTCATTTTACCGCTTTATTTTGAATGGGAAATGATAAGCTTTTATTCTTACTTCGTATGTTCATAATATCAATATAATGTTAAGATATTACATTTATGATATCGGTGTATTCTCTTCATACATACATAAATAAATAAATTTCAAGACTTTATCAAGGTTAATCGGGCTTATTTTAATTTTCTTTTGAAAAAAATTAAGATTGAGGGTTCGGGAACACGACACGCTTTATCACGACGCTTGAACGCGTCGGTTAGGAGGGAGAGAGACCGTTATCGTCTTAAGCCTCGTACTGAGACGACACCAGTCCCCGATGGTTGCATGGCGATTTCGACCTCCTAGTCACATGATCATCATTCGGGGTCTCAGGGGGTTAGGTCGGGTTTTGAGTCTGAGCATGAGGAGGCTGAGTCACCGGGCCCCGAGTACTTGTACAGAGGATGTCAGGGCTTATCAGGCGATGACGACGATGACGAGGAGGAGCCTGATGACATTGTTCATACGTATGGGGTCTCGGTGGGAGATTTGTTAATACTCAGGAGACTAGTCGTAGTCGGACTCCGGTACAAGACAGCTGGTTAGTGACTACGCCAATGGCCGGCGGTCCAGAGGATGGAAGCGTCATTCCTTGCTATGGTGGTCATGTCGCAGCTGCGATTTGGGGTGGTGTGAAGCGAGGTGTTTTGAGATGTATGAGTAGGAGAAAGATGTGCACTACACTGGATCAGTTGCGACAGTCGTTATTACCAGAGACATTAGCCCCTATAGATCAGAGCGGGCTATCACATCTTCCTGGTATTATGTATCAGCACCTTGACTGGCCTTTGATTTCAATGTTCGTGGAGAGATGGCAGCCAGATACTAACAATTTTCATTTGCCGTTCGGTGAGATGACGATCATGTTACATGGTGTGTATCATATCCTTGGGATCTCTGTAGATGGTACTATGGTTTCTACTGTTATGGACCCCTTACAGTTACGACAGTATTGCTCGTTCATGATGGATTTGCCTGTTGAGGAGTTACGTAAACCCACTTACGTGCCTAGTGGCGCGCTTTCTTCGAGGGTCCTCGAGACGACCTTCAATGTTGAGAGGCCCCCTGAGATTTCCATGGTGGAATTTATGTGGATTTTACTGGGTTCATCACTCTTTGTGGACAAGAGTGGTAACAGACTTCATCCCTCCCTCATCCATGAGCTTCAGCCTGTCGATGGTACATTTGTCACTAGTTCCTACTCATGAGGCTCTGCTACTTTAGCGTTTTTGTACCGTCAGTTTGGGCAAGCCTAGTGGGCAGATTGTGATTCCATCTCTGGTTGTCTCACGCTTCTTCAAGCGTGGATTTATGAGTATTTTCCATGCTTTCGCCCTCAGCAGGGCACTCTGACCAGGGAGCCTGGACGTGTGCGTGCATTGCTATGGGATGTTGGTTTGCCATCGAAGACCTCAGATCGGCTTTTTGCTTTCCGTGCTCAACTTGACGTGTTGACTGACATTGAGGTAAATATGAAATTCATTAATTAATTTTGTTCCGTATCACCTTACTCTTATGTGACTAATATATTGTTTGATTATGCAGGTTAACTGGCTGCCTTACGGACCTGACCCAGCCAGTGTTGTTCCTACGACTTTGTTATCGGGATTTATACGGTACCGCAGCATCATCGAGCCGTACATGCCCGATCGAGTCGTCAGACAACTTGGGTTCGTACAAGAAGGTACCCCATTAGGCCTGAGAAGGCCAAGAGATCGAAGAAGGTCAAGATGTATAGTGTTGAGTTCCCGGCTGAGACGTCCATACACATGTAGGAGAGCTTTATTCCATTTGCTACGTATTGTCTACCAGTGGCTCGCTACACTAGACTCAGTCGCGGCAGTCTTGCATACACGGACGATTACATTCCATGGTTGGTGAGATAATCTCACCCTCGTGTATCACCCCTTAACGTACCTCAGGTTAGCGGTCTCCCCGAGAGGACCAACACTGATTATGTAAGTATATTTTCCTTTAGTTTTGTATTTATTATCTGGAAATTTTATTGATTTTTTTAATATTCTATAATATTTGCAGTGGGTTGGTCGCTTCGTTGAGTTCACACAGCGTGCACTTGCCGAGTCGCATGGGCCCATGTCCCGTGAAACTAAGGCCATGGCTGCACAGGCCCTTCGTGATTGGAATGATATGCGAGGGTTATGATTTGTGTTTAGCTAGACACCTTTATTCTTAGTTGAACACTTTAATTATTGGTTGGACACTTTTATTATTTTGTTTTGGTTATTGTAATGGGACACTTTTATTATTCGTATGGACATGAACACTTTGATTTAAATTGTTACAATTGTTACTTGTGTTTTTTTATGGCCCTTTTACTAATAATAATAACAATAACAATAATAATAATAATAATAATAATAATAATAATAATAATAATAAACAAAGTTCAAACATCATTATTTAAGTTTTGAACAACGAATTACATCTATCATGACGCAACTAATCTTTCCCACAAACTAATTCTACGTTGGTATCTGATAAGTCTATTTTATATATATTTATTCCCCGTCCCAATAGTCATAATTGTGTTTATTTGAGCTCTACGGAGCTACTTTTATTACTAATATGCGTTTTCTAGTGTTTTCGTAGTTTTGGTACTGTTTTATAGGAAATTGCAGATTTGGAGCATTTTCCCGGACTTATGATAAGCCACTACGAGAATTGGAGAATTATGACCATATTTCATAGCCCACGACCGGTTGGAGTCATCAAATCGGTGATTAAGGGCTCGGCGAAGAAGAAGAGTCCGGGGCAATGGACCATGTATTCAGAACCCAAAGAGGAAATGCGAATTGGGCTAAGAAATGGCCCAATTGAAGAAGTCCAAGTTTGCCCGGGAGCTCGCCTGGCAGGGAAAGCCCTCGCCTGAAGGCGCGCCCGGCAGGGCGAGGAAGAAGGAAGAGAGTAGCTGCTCGCCCGAAGGCGCGCCCTGCAGGGCGAGATGGCGCCCGACCGGGCGTGTGTTTCTGAGTTCGTTTAGCAGTTTTAATCTTCGTTTTAGCTTAGTTTTCTTAGTTTAATATAAATACGCTTTTGTTAAGTGAGTTTGGGACATTCTTTTCTCTCTCTCTCTGTCTTTCTCTCTCTCTCTCTCTCTCTACTTTTCTCATTAGTTTAATTCTTTAGTTTTTAGTTTTAAGCTATTAGTTAATACTCTTGATCCCTCTCGACACTTTTAATTTATGCAATTCTTTACTTCCGTCTACTTTGGTAACGATTTCTTCCCTCTTTACTTTCAGTAATTTAATTGCTTTGATTTAATTATGCTTTCTTTAATTGCCTTGCTTAGTTTAGATTTAAATATGTGCGAGTAGTTTTATTTCTAGGGTTGTGGGGATCCATAAATAATATGACGGGGTAGTTTATTATTGTTGATTATTGTCAATGTTTTGGTTGATTTCCTATTGATTGATTTAATGCTATGCAATTAGATTTGCGCAGATTTAATTGTATGAGTTATGCAATATTGATTCGAGATTCGAGAGATGAGAGTTGATGTTTAGGCTTAGTTTCAATAGGCAGGTTAATTTATAATTGGTTAAGTCAAGATTCGAGAGATGCGATTTAATACCGATAGATTAATTATGTGATCGTAATACATAGCGAAAGCCCTTTATGATCTGATTAATCTATGCATTGATGATTGATTATTATGTTTTATACTGAAATATTATTTATTGGTGAACCTATACCCTAGGCTTTTTATTTTTGTTTTCCTCCCTTATTTAATTTGCTTTAGTTTAGTTATTAGTTTAATTCTCACAAAAACAATTTGGTTACTTGATAATTTAGATTATATTAATTAATTAGGAATAGAAAGACCTGTTTCTCTGTGGATTCGACCCTACTTCCCTATCTATATTATTTAGCGGTTTTAGGAATTACTTTTGATTAGGTGATACGACTTTAGCCTGTCAGTATCGTTGCTCCATCCAATAACGCTAGGTTCACGAGCCCGATACCAAACATCTGCAATTGGGGGAATCGGATGGTCTTGATCAAGCTGTAAAAGAATAAAATGCGACCCACCCACAGATCCTATAACAAACTCTCGAGCTGGTGCAGTAGCATTGTTGGGGGCCCGCAACGGTAACACAGTGATGCAAGGATAGTAGCTCGTCGGTGTCAATCCAATGCCATAACAAATCACAGCTACATTGTACAAGGTAGCAATTACGTACAAATCCTGAAAGGCTACCATCCAATGTCCTTCCCCACATGGGCCACCGCTCCAACGAATACGTTGTAACTCAAAATCCAAACCACCTGGCTCGTAATAAATCCTCTTGTATAAGTGTGGATAACCGGTGATCTCATTAGCCATGAATTTTCGAGCTAATCTCCATTGCTCTTGATCACCCATGAAGAAGGAGGCAACACAACGAAAGCCGCAATTACCATCACCAATGACATCATTCCATCCGGTTATGTAAGGCAATATAGGTCCGGGGAGCAATTGAGCGTACCTACATTGTTTGATGTTGAATCCATTTCCTCCTAAAAAATACACATTCGTAATTGGTAGAAAATAATCATCAATTAATAGATATGTATGTTATAAAAAAACATTATTACTCAAAATTAAAACATACCGGATTCAGTTTGACGGTTTTGCCTTGAACCATGTTGCCTCGACCTTCTCCCTCCACGACTGCTTGTGTACGCTCAACATTCTCAAAATGGCTACGATCACGCCTAGTAGAACGATCCCGTGGTCGACCTCGTGTTGAGTGATTCACTTCCGGCTCCTCAAGATCTGAATGATTCGGATGCAGCTCATCTTCAATGATGCGAGAAACATTCCGAACCATAACAGGGTCACTAGCCAAAACCTCATCGACAAGGGAATGAAAATGTGCTGCTTCTTCCGCCGACTCATCGACGAACTCCGGTATATCAACACCATCACCAATGACAAGGCTTTGCCAAAATGGATGAATTTGGCTGCAATACAACCCCTTCATATCACGCATTGAATTATAAATCTAGCAAGCACATGGTATCCCATGGGTGATCCGTAGAGCACAACCGCAACGCACATGCACCTCGTAACTCAACTCTCTCATTCTTTTCGTCTCATCGTAAAGAACAGACAGACAATGATGAGAAACTTTTCCATTAAGCCGCTGCAACGGCATGTGCCTGTACTTCTCACCCACTTTAGATCTACTAGCCTCCAAAGCGTTACGAATTCCAACAATCTGATTTCCAATCTGGCAATGCACTCGAGCCCATACCGTATCCAAAGAACCTGTCGATGATTCCATCCAACTCTTGACCGCCGAGTGCTGACTCTCAACCCTACATGTAGAAACGTTACCGTACTGCATAACTTTGTTCGTCCAACACGTCACAAATTTCTCTTTCTGGGAAAGCCAAGTAGTCTCAACGTAATCCACAACTTTCGGATACCGACCCCAAATTGTTTTCAATCTCTGCGAGGCTAACTCATATTCCAGCTCAGATGCAGCATCCATGATTCGTTTCCATCTACCGTTTTTGAACTTTTCACCCACCGTCTTGTCCTTGAACAATCCAGTCACATAAGCTTCGACATCCTTATTAATATGCCACCTACAAAGTAAATGCGTAGTGTGAGGAAACTCGGAAATGCTACACAAAGTCCAAGCTCACGGTCAGTTAAGAACACTGATGGCTCCCGTTGGTATCCGATCAAATCCCTCAATCTCTGAAGCACCCATCGATAACTAGCTTGTGTCTCGTTTCTCATGAACACATATCCAACAAGGAAATTCTGATTGGTCGGTGTAACCCCAACTATCTCAAAAAATGGCATGCCGTATCTGTTTGTCTTGTATGTAAAGTCCATACCAATCACGTACGGATATGTGCGTAACAAGTTGCACGTGATCGGATGCACCATGAATGCATGCTGTAAAACACCGATGTCATCAACCATAACCCAATAAATGTAGTGACTCTCTCTAGCCAAATGTAGAAATTGTTGAACCACTCCTCTTCCTTCAGAATCCTTCATTCTGATGTCACTTCTACAATTGTATATATGCCTGATGTTTGGATGATCTTCAGGATATTGCTCTATAATGGTTGCCATGATATTACGAGGTGCAACCTCTGACCTTGTCAAGTTACGCAGAACCTACTTCGCACCTGGACTAAGACCGCTGATTTGTCGATGACCTTCAGGATACACAATGAATGGATGATTGTGGGTGCCGGTTACATCATTTTTAGCAAAGATCCTCCAACCATCGGTGCTTCTCTCGTAATAAATCTTGATGTAAAAAGGACACCCAACGGACTTGGTTTTAGTGTCCTTGCGAATCACATTCTCCAAATCTCTTGGCCTATTCTTCCAACCACGATCGCAAGCCAAAAATATCGATACGGCCGACCATCGGTGGTTTTTTTGTACGATGATGAGACGAATATAAATCCAATTGGTCGGGCAATTTCTTTTGCCCATTCAACAGCATCATCATAACTAGGAAACATTGTGTCGGTTTGAAAATGACCACTATAATTCACACCATCACCACCATTTTCTGATTCTGAATCCTATATAAAAAACCACATTACAAACTGCTTAAGAACCCATATAATAATAATAATAATAATAATAATAATAATAATAATAATAATAATATAATAATAATAATAATATAATAATAATAATAATCATAATAATAATAATAATAATAATAATAATAATCATAATAACAACAACAACAACAACAACAACAACAACAACAACAACAACAACAACAACAACAACAACAACAACAACAACAACAACAACAACAACAACAACAACAATAATAATAGTAATAATAATAATAATAATAATAATATATTAATAATAATAAACGACATAAATACGATAATAATAATAATAATAATAATAATAATAATAATAATAATAATAATAATAATAATAATAATAATAATAATAATAATAATAATAATAAGTAGAAACGCATGTATTGTTTGAATGTACCATAGAAGAAACGCCAGAAAATTTAGAATCTACCATGGAACATTCTAAAATTTCAGGCGTTCCTACCATGGTTTTTCCTGAAATTTTATAATGTCCCATGGTAGATTCTAAATTTTCAGGCGTTCCTATGAACATTTGAAAATACGATGTGAGGAATGCCTGCAATTTTTGAATCTACCATGGGACATTCTAAAATTTCAGGCGTTCCTACCATGGTAGATTCTAAATTTTCAGGCATTTCACTGGCAATTACGAAATAAAAAAAAACGACAAAAATTCATCTATACTCACAGGCGACCTCTCCGGTGGCGTCGTCAATTCCGCAAAATCGTCCATTCACCGCTTGTGTAAATCGTTTTTGAATAAAGGGTTTTTTTTTTATGAATAATGGTGGCTGGTGGTTGTCTGGTGGAAGTGGCTGATTGGTGGCTAGTGGGGTAAAAATAAAATAGGTTAAATTTATAAAGGATAAAGTAAAATAGGATAAGAGTAAATTAGGGTAAAATTAAAAGGGGGCATGTTTGTAATGTCATGTTAAAATACGGGCGTTACCTAGTAAATACCGGATGCGATTTAGCAATTCACTTAATTTCGGAAAACATGATTGCTAAAGACACCATGTTGATATTGTTAAATGCCATGTACTTCAAAGGAACATGGGTTAACGGATTTAAGACTGAACACACTGAAGATGCAGACTTTTACTTGCTCAATGGAAACAAAGTTGAAGTCCCCTTCATCAATAAAACTTATACGGGCTTCGAATATGGAACTTTCGAGGGATGTCAAGTCTTAAGGATGCTAGACAACAAAGAAGAAGTCGAAAAGGGTGAAAAGGCAAGGAGTTTCTCAATGTACATTTTCTTGCCTGAACAAAAGGACGGGTTGCCAAATCTAATGCAGAACATCAATATAGACGCGACAAAACCCCCCAAAACCCTACATGAGCAGCCGCCCACTATTACCCTTCATTTTACTTTCTCCTCTCTTTCCCTCCTCGTCATTTCTCTTCTCCTTCTCCTTCCTCCAGCTTTCTCCTCATCATTTCTTTTCTCCTCCTCCTTTTCTTTACTCTCTCATCCTCCGTCCCCGCCGAACATTGCTGCCCCAACCGCCACACCCGCTGTCTCTTCGCTCTGCCCTCTATGCCATTTTCAAATTTTAAGTTTTTTAAGGTCAATTTCGACCAAGTTGGTCGAATGTGGCCTTATTAACCAAGTTTGAGGTGAAATTCGAACCAATTTCAAATTTTGAGGTATGTTTTCGTGTTTTTAATTTTTTAGCTTTGTATTTAAGTTTTTTTTTTTTAAAAAAAAAAATTAAAAAAAAAAATATTGGGTGGTGGTCCGTCCTGGTTTTAGGAGCGTGGTGGGTGTGTCTGGGTCGGTGTTAGGTTTAGGTGGGTTGTAGTGGTGGGTCTGGGTCGGTTTTATGTTTTAAGTGGGTTTTGGTGGGTGGATATGGGTCGGTTTTAATTAGGTTTTAGGTGGGTTATGGTGGGTATGTCTGGTCGGTTTTAGGTTTTAGGTGGGTTTTGGTGGGTGGGTCAGGGTCATTTTTAGGTGTAGGTGGGTTCTGGAGGGTGGATATGGGTCGGTTTTAGGTATAGGTGGGTTGTGGTGGATCGGTTAGGGTGGTGGGTGGTGGTTGTGGGGAATATTTGAGGAGTTTTTTTTTTTTTTAATTTTTTTATTTGTTGTGGTGGGGGATAGTGGCCACGCTGGGGGTGGAGGTGGTGGTTTGGCGGTGGGGGCTAGTGGTGGTATGGGGTGGTGCAGGATTTTTTTTTATATTTTTTTTACAGGATTTACCAACGGAAATTTCCGGGCTAGAAAACCTCTTCCGACGCATGAATTCCGACGAAATTTCTGTCGGAAAAGTGTTTCGACGGAAATTCCGTCAGAAAAGGTCGATTTCCTACAAATATGTCACGACGCCACTTTCCGACGGAATTCCATCAGAAACACGATTTCCGACAGAACACAGAGTGTTTTCGACTGAATTTTCCGTCGAAAATGATCTGTTTTCTAGTAGTGAATCTCCATTAACTGTAGAGCAGAAAATTAACATGGCTAACTTTGTTAGTATCGTATAATAGAAATATTAGATATATTATCCTCCACAATTAACTATTCCATATTATCTTTCCCGCAAAACAAAATATCACCCAAGACCAATGTTATATGAAATACATGCATCATACTGAAGTCGAAATTCGAAATCAAACGTATCAATGGAAGAAAGGGTTGAGAAAATACTTATTATCACTAACTTTATTTCAAAATAGATAATTTTTATTTATTGTATACAAAAATATAATTATATTAATTATTTAGTCAACTCTATGCATGGATGGCTAAGATTTAATACCAAAATTAAAGGTCCAGATTGAAAGATTACAATGGCAACAATATTTTTGTAGCCATTGCAAAATTGTCCATAAATTATGATATGTAATTGAAAAAATGTCAATAGTGCAAATGGTGCAACATTTTTATTATGGAATTGAATTTTTTTTTCTTAAGAGAATTATTCAACCCTTTAATTCTTACTTTCTTAAAATTGAATATATTTGAGAATATTTGTAATCAACTAATCCAACCCTTTAATTACTTGTTTTACCGAATATATCTTGTTCTTGCTATATTAATAAATTCAATTATTCAAAGTATCGTACCTTGTCAAAGGGGATCCAATAGTAATCCTTAATTACCTACGTATAAGTCATGGGAAAACATGCATATAAATACACGTACATATATACACCTCTTATCATATGCATTAAATCTCATTCCATTCATCTGTTTTGTGCAAAAAATCCTTAGCTTGTTCTTAATTTTAATTTTTTCATAACAAACCAAACTTTAATTTAGGCAATTCCACAAAAATGAGTTTCTCTTATAATAAGATAATTAAATCATTGATGATCTTGATTCTGTTCTTGAGCTTCAACCTTCTTGTAGAGCATGGAAATTGTAGGCCTTTAAAGGGTGATGACAACGTTCATTATAAGCGCGACGACAACGTTCAATGGATGAAGGAGGAGGCTAATCTTGTTTCATTGGAGGTTAAGTCTAAAGGAAAGCCTTCCCCACCATCGCATTCACGAAGCCCAGGTTACATTCCTGGTCCTCCAGGAAGAAATTGAGCTTGACCCTTAAGCTCATGCATGTGCTGTTGAAGAAAATACGTAGTAACTAAAAGAAGAGGAAGTAATATTATTTTTGGTTGAATAAGTTCTTATAGATTTATAATGATATTTAATTAACTTAATTATTCTAATCTTTGTAGTGTACTTGATGAGGCTTATATACACATTTATGTATAAACATTAAAGAATAATTAGTTTATACTCTGTACTTCGTATTTGTTTACATTTAATTAAATGACTAGTTTTCCTTAAAGAAAAAAAATAATAATTAAATGACTAGTGAGTTTTGTGTTTATTGAATTTTATAATAAACTATTTATTTATATCCTAATTTTAAAACATATCATTAATACAAACAGTGTTATGTAAAAGGTGGATATTCTTTTTTAGGGTATTTTAACTTTTACCACCTTCAAATAACCACTTAATTGAATTTACCACCTCCAAAAAAAAAAGATTTACTTTACCACCAACAAAATTTCCAAAAAATCGATTTTACCACCAACTAACGGATTCCGTCCACGAATCCGTTAGTAGGGCCCACCTTTTTGACGTTTCTTCTTCATCTTCCCCGATCTTCCGTGTAAACCAACCAACAACGAAATCAACTACCTCGGTTGGTCGGAATTTCGTGTGTGACTAAGGAGGGGCCGGAATTTGGTGTGTGGGTTAGGGAGGTGGTCGGAATTAGGTGGTGGTTAGGGTTTTAGGAGTGCGAAATTTGGTGGTGGCTAGGGTTTTTAGAGTGGTCGGAATTAGAAGGGGATTTATGGGTGGTCGGGATTTGGTGGCTGCCAAAAACTAAGAAGCCAAATCACCAACAACAAGGATACAAATCGATTATCATCAACATTTCTACAAACCAAAGCAATTAATTCATTACAATACCCACAAATCGAAACCTCAAAACCAGAAAAAGAATTGGGTAAATCAAACCTTGTCAATC